AAGAAAAACATCTACAATAATATGTGGGGATAACCCTGTGGAGCAAGCAAAAAAGGCGAGGTTGGGGGCTTAGAAAGGAAGCATGAGCAGCAACTTGCATGGTTTGATTACATGCTTCTAACAGCAGGGTGGGGGGAAGCATACGTGGTCCCAAAAGGCAGAGTCCAGATCCCACGACCTGTCCTAAGGTCATGCCGCATGGCTGTGGCTGCGCGCCCCAGAGAAGCAGATTGGTGTTGTTGGTGTAGATGGGTGAGCCGAAGGCTGCAATACCTTCATAGAATGGAGGGATGGGCGAATAGCAAATCTAGCAGTGCTCATAGGTGGTGTTGGAGAGTGCCTGGGCAGAGGCTTTGACCATCTCAAGGATGAGATCTGAGGTGGAGACTGGACCGGTGGGCATGGTGGGTTGATAAACAGTGGTGGTGGCAGCGGGAGGTGAAGAATGGAGATTAGGACGAGGGCGAGGGGTGGCAGCCTTGGATAGGAATGAGCCACCACCAGAGGGGTATAAAAAAGGATTGGCGCCAACAGCAATAGGGCGAAAGGAAGGGATTTCTTTCAACAGTCTAATGGAAAAGGTGAGGCCTGGGTCTGTGCCAGAAACATATAGACGTAAACCCCAGTGAGCGCCACAGTAACCGTCCCAGAGAAACCTTTTTCCTGCAGCTGTAAACTGGATATGGAGGAGGTTGCACCAACTGTGTGGACAAAGGGGATTAAGTGGTGTTGGGCCAGAATTAAGTAGGGACTGGCAGGGATGTAAGGAGAGAAACTAAAAATCAAAAGGAGAAATGGAAGAAGTAGTAGGCGATGCGGTATCATCTTCACTGGGAGTTTTGTTGTCAACAGCATTGGGAAAAGAGAAAACAAGAGATTCCTCAGGGGTGCTTTCCCTGGGAGGGTTATAAAGCTTGACCAGCGTGTTTCTCCAATGTTGGTGTTATGAACACAAGCATGTCCTTTTCCCCAGATAAGGACTGGGTGAGGACTGAGCCATTGGCCCGTGTGCACATCTTTCCAGAGTACCTGTTGAAAGTTTTCACGGGTGGAAGGGTGCCAGAGCCAATCAGCAGCTGATCGGCCATTGTTGTCCAGAGAGAGAAAATTGAGCACAAAAAGTGCATGATTTAAAAGCAGGCAATGTTTGCCTTTGCGAGCATACAGGGTTTCACTTTTGGAAGAGCATATTTTTCAAGGTTTGATTAGCTCGCTCTACGATTCCCTGTTCTTGAGGGTTAAGAGGAATTCCTGTTTTGTGGGTAATGCCAAATTTTGTACAAAAATCCTTAAATTTAGAACTAATGTACCCTGGGCCATTGTCAGTTTTAATGGTGGTAGGGACAGGAATGATGGTAAAACAATGTAAAATATGGGCAATAGCATCCGGGTGTGGCTGCCCTGCGTAAATTTAACTTTTATGGTTAACCTTTTCCTTTGTCGCAAGGGCATGTGTGCTCCCAGTCACGTAGGCAGAAGGCCAAGAAATGGCTGACAGACTCCATTTTGTTCAAGGTTCTAGCAGTCCCCAACAGAAAAGGATAGAGATATGCAGTAAAGACAGATTCAGATGGCACAACCTCCAAACAGGTTCCAATGTGATTAAAAACATACATAGGCTTATGCAAAAAGAGAGAAAGGATACAGTTATAGAAAAAACACTTTAAAAATAATGAAGTATACTCTTTAAAGAGACAAGTAAAATGATTTTTTTAAATCCAGATAACTATGAGAACTACAGTGAGACTCTAGATCCTGTAGGGTATTGTGTTGCATTTGATTTTGATTTCCATTTTTTATTGCAGAGAAGCAAATGACAGCAGTTGAGAGACATGAGGCCTAAAGGGGGACTGCTGAAACAAAGCAGTCTATATACTTTAAGAATGCCTTGATTTAAAATTGGAAGTCAAAAAATGCATTTGTCAAATAAAAATCAAAGATGCTTTGGGGAAAAGGCTCTGCTTTTTTTTCCACTAGAAACAAGAGGTTCTGGATTCCTTCAGTGTTAATATGGATCAGGATTGACAGGTGATACATATCACTAGAGTTAAACCTCATCTTCCCAGGACTTGGCCATTATCTCAGTTTCCTCAAGGAAACCCTAAAGATGCCTTTAACCATACGTAACAGGAAGCAGTTCAGAGAACACTACACCACATTATCAAGAGGTGGAAACTGGGAGGTTTTTGGTTATTTGGTGGGTAATGGATGTATGTTATCATTTAGAGTAATACAGGACTATAGGATATAAATACAGTTATTAATCACAGACACTGCAATGACATGTATTTTGGCACATTGATACAAATTTAAAATTATTTTTGTTATCCTGAGTATGATTCTACTCTTGTTTGCTTGTTTGGGGGTATTGTGCTTATGCATCTCATTTAAAATATAATGTATAGTTAAGAAATGAGGTTAGCGGTTAATCTGTAATAAATGAAGTTACATTGGGTATATTTTCAAGTTTAAATGGGCATATTTTAGACAGATGTATTGTTAAACACTTCAAAATCTACACAATATGGTATTTAAGATGTTAAATAACCTGTTTTTCATTACTATGAGACATGTCTGCTCCTGGCAGCACCAACTTACTTCATAAAAAGATAATGGGCATCAAAAAAACACCATAGAGAGTTTACTTTCAGTAGCATTTCTGAAAATGCTAGTCATTTGGGCGAGAAACTGCTCTTGCTTTGACTGTTGACTATGTTGTATTGACTGGACAAGAAAAACACAGAAAAAGACAGTTGGATTTTGTCAGGACAAGGCAAGACAGTCCCTCAAATTTTCTGCCTCAATGAAAAGTTGCCAATGTCAAGACAGATGCCCCAGCATTCCAGAGGAACTTTGGGTGACTGTGCAGGCAGCTAGATGTTGCTGTTGTTGGGTGACCTTATAACCTCTGGGGTCTTTGATGGATTTAAAGCCTAAATAGAGTTGTATTTTTCCTTAGATATGATGAAAGGTAAATTAATTTTTAATCTTATAAATATTTGGAATCATTAAGATAAGATAGACAATGGAGTATTTTCTCTGAATTTGTAAAATGCCTAATATTATAAATATAATTCTTGATAACTATTCCTAGGTTAAAGCTAAAATATTTCATTTTTATTTAGACAAAGAGGGGGATATGTTGTGAAATATTTAAGATGTGTTACATTCATTTCTGCTGTGGAACATTTGTTTAAAGATGCAAAGATACGCGGCATTCTTTTATGTTGCATTTGTTTAATTCTATAAAGCTATGTTACTTTGCCTGCCTAAAATACCTGAATGGCCTAATAAAGAGCTGAATGGTCAATAGGCCCTCTGAATGTGTGTAACACTTGAGTGACTTGGGCAGTTTGTATGGCCACCAGCAGGGGAATCAGCATTTATCCTTGGTGCATGAACAGGGTTTTTGGAGCCCATTCCCTATGGAGAGATACCTTGCTCAGTCTAGATAGGAGAGAAGACCCTGGTCCTGCTCCAAGTGATATGATAGACTATGTTGAGGTCTCATTCTCTGTGGAGTGGATACAGGGTCAGGTGAGGAGATGTTGGAGGGAGAAGGAGGGCAGAAAGGAGAGGAGACTGGGATTGGTATGTAAAATAATATTGTTTTAAAAACAAAAAAGAACCCAGGTAGAGAGACATGGTCTCTGAACTACTCTTACTATGCATTGTTCTGAATGTTGCAAGAATGGAAAGCTTTATACTAATATATTAGTTGTTGCTTCTTCAGAAAGGAGAGTGAAATGGAAGGCTAGGGAAATAACTGAAATGTTTCTTCAAATGATACCCCAATTCCAAAAAGAGCTATGGTCCTTGCCCGCAAGTCCAAAGACTCATGGTGTGATAGTTGCTTAACTTACAATGCCCACTGATGTTAGCACTCCAAGCCAAACATTTCCTCGAGACAAAATTCTCAGGCATGTTCAATACCCTCACAGGGCCCCAACTCATTGTGTTATTCTTAGAAAGAACTATAGCTAATCTTGGAAATATATTTGTCTTCTTTCTGGGATGAAAATGCTGAATCTGACCTTACACCATTCTTTATGGATTTGCAAAGTGAAGCTCTAAATGAAAAGATGAGTCTTTTCAGTTCTTTCTAAAGGTCACCAATGCCGATGATCACAGTAACCTTTAATTTGTGAGTCTCCAGGTACTAGAAACACCCGTGAAATATAAACCGGTATTTTTCTTTATTTTGTTATCTCATGTTAATAAAGTTCACATTTTCACACACAATCCTGTATTAAAGCCAAAGGGACTGTGTATGGCAGTATGTGTTAACAGCACATAGTTCACTAAGATTATAGCCCCCTTATTACAGTTTACTGTTCTTAGTGGAAAATAAAATTTTGTAATTCAAAAATATTAAAATGAGAATGCATCCATCAAAGTAAATAATAGAGAGATGGGTTTTTTTCAACACCAGCATTTGTAAGACTGAAGAGATGACTCAGTAGTTAAGAGCTCTTGTTATTTGTACGAAGGACTGTAGTTCAATTCTTAGAACCTACTTAGCAGGTTCACAGCCCACTGAAACTCCAGCTCCAGGGAATCTGATGTCCTCTTTTTGATGCTATGAGAACATAAACTGACTTGCTGATACCCACTCCTGGACATTAACACATACACACACATGTTTTGGTAATTTGTATCATTGAGATGTGAGTATATTATTATAGCATGTCTACTTATTTATATTTAACTTAAGTATGAAGTATATCATACAACATATTATGTAATTATGTTACTGTCCTTTAAGTAATTCAACATGTTATAAGTTACAGATTATACAGATAGTGGTACAACTACTATATAATGAAAAAAACATGAAGAAAAGAGAAATGATTTGATGTCGTAAAATATTGTGAATGAAATCCAAAACTTATATTGCATAAGAATTATAGTATATGAAATGCTTACCAGAAAATTAGCAGAATTAACAATGGATAATAAAATTGAAAACTAGAGACAAATTAAAAATTATCTTAAATTCTGTGCTAGCTTCAACAGTACATATACTAAAATTGGAATGCTACAAATAAGATTAAGATGGCCTCTGTACAAGGATGACACAAATTCATGAAGCATTCCACATTTTTAGGGAAACAACAGGATGCCCAAGAGGAATCACAGTGAGAGCCAAACATCAATGGTGTTGCAGAGACCAGAGGCTTCAAACCACACCAATGAGTCTGTAACGAAGACTTTCACATAAACATATATGGGTAAAAGGCTTACTTAAGCATGACTCCTTGTGGCACACTACAGTTTCCATAGTGAGCGTTTTTCCTTTTTGTCTTCTTTTTCTCTTAAATTTTATTTTATTTCTTATTTTGGTGGAGAGGTTGCTGGGGAATGGGAAATGAGTGGGATTGAGATGCTTGACGTGAAAGACAGGAAGAATAAGTAAAAAGAAAGATCCATAGTCAACACATTTTTCCTTCTTTTGAAACGCCAGAGTCTTCTATAGGTTTCTACTCTTGTCTTCTTCAAATCCAACCTTTATTTGGATAACAACAAAACTGTGTCACCATTTTCAGTTCCTCACATCTTTGATCACACACCTGAACCTTCAGATTCAATTCAAAAATTCTAGTCCATGACAATATTATTTTCTGTCCTCGGGGCTCAGTAAGACTCAATCAAAAGCTATCCAGATAAATGATACAAGTATTAATTTTTAGTATGTACACGAGGGTACTTCTAAAAGATATTGTTCCTTGAATCAGTGAACCCCTTAAGGAACTGCTACCATCTTTACATGTGAGGGGCCACTAGTCACGAGACTAAGTGTAGAAAAGGCAATCCCCCAAAAGTACATGTGAATCATCTATTTATGCATCCATCATTCATAAACTTCATGTTTAAAAATACTTCTTACTTCTGGGTTAAAATAACACTGCATTAGTCTTCACTAGCAATCACCTTAAATAATACAAAAAAAAGAGAAATGGGATGATATGTGCTGCAGATGGAATTCTAAAATAACCCCTCCAAAATCTCTTCTTCCTGCTGTATATTAATAGCCTTCTAATTGCCACCAATGATCAACTGAGGATTCATTTGCTTTTCAAGGATGGAAATCTCAAAGAGTCAAAAAAAAAAAAGAGGCTGACCCTAGAGTTTACAATGCAGAGTTTTTGAGCACCAGAAGCATGCTTCCGTATCCTGCAATTCAAGATGCTCACAGCTCTAGGTTTTGAGAACTGGAGGTTATTATTCCAAGATCTCAAAGCATAAATGTGTGACTTCAGGTGCACAGGTTAGGGGCTTATTGCCCTTTCCTGTACAGGCTACCAGCGAGGCATTATGCAGGTGGTGCTGCACACCCTACGCCGCAATTTTTGCAACCCTTGGCTCCTAACTCTTGGTAACCCTCAATAAATCTTCCCAGAGCAGTAATTTGCAGGTTGCGTGTTAAGCTCCTCATATCCTCTTGCCTTTCATAGGCAGATCTTTATAGTTTATACTCCTGACAACTCTCTAGAGTGCTTCAGATTCCTTATTGCTTCTTGGTTTGGTCTGAAGGTCTCAAGAGTTTTTATTCTTTTTAAACAATCAACTCATCCCTTTATACTCATAATGAAAACCATAAATAGGAGTATGGAGAGATGGATCAGTGGTTATGAGCACTGGCTGCTCTTACAGAAGACCCAGGTTCAGTTTCCAGCACCCACATGGTAGTTTGCAATTGCCTGTAACTCCAGTTTCAGGGTGCATGATGCCATCTACTGACATCTGAGGGCACTTCACAGACATATGCATCAAAATGCACATGCACAAAAAATTTATAAATGAACCTCAAAATGTTTTAAAGAGGAAAACTAAGCAGAAGAAGACTATTGAGGATTTCTCTTATTTCACTATTTGTATCAAAAATGCAGAAGAAGCCATTTGATTAACCCAAAAGACTGAGAAACATCCTGATAGCATAAATAGAAAAGGGATATGGCATACTGGGCTTCCATTGAAATCCTGTGGATGCACAGCATCTAGTTCCCTAAATCACATCCCTCACATTACACTGATCACAGACATTTTTATTGAGTTACTGGAGAGTTTCTCTCTTTCTAGTCCTGAGTAGGAATCACTATTGACACTAATTTCAGCTGTCTAGTGTCAACAGGTATTCAGAGTCTTATATTGCCTGAATGCAGTATTCCAAAGACAGGGAAGATTGTCTGGAGTGGTATTCACAGAGTGAGACCTCCTGGGGGAGTATTACTGGAAAGGCAGCCTCGGCTGTCTTCGTTGTTGCAGCTGGAATTCTGTTGCTAAGAGTGAGCATGCAGTATCAAACTTGAACTTTTCACAGGCTCACATGATTTTCCCATATATAGTTATGGAAAGGAGATTAAAACTATATATTAAAATGATTCCAAATATTTAAAATCAAAGCTAAAAAAACCTGAAAGTTTGAATAGCCTACCATTGGATGATTTCTAAGATTTGAATAACATAAAGGCTACATTAAGTCATTCAGAAATTTTCAATGGAAGAGGTCAGCTTGGCTGAGAGCTTCTTGACCAATGCAGAAAGTTATGTATTCACTAAAAGGCATATATGATAAATACATGTTTTGGAATTAAAGTCCCATAAAGCTTAAAACAAAGAACAATAAAGAAGAGACATTCTCGGGGGGGATGATAAGAAGCTTCCTGGCCTTATGGTAGAAGGGAAACCTGTGATTAGAATGAGAAATGACCCCACAGGCTCATGAATTTGAACATCAGGTGTCCATCTGGGGGCACTGTTTGGGGAGGTTATGGAACCTCCTTACTGGAGGAAGTGGTACATCATGAGAGTTTATAGACTTCCCTTATTACCAGTTCACTCTTTCTGCTTTCTGGGTGTAGTTGAGATGGAGTCAGTCACCTCTTTATGTTAACCACTTAACTGTGAACACGTGTGTCAAGATTCACTGGACTAGGCTCAATACAGGTTAATATAATTTTATTTGGGAAGAAGGCACTTACACAACAAACAGATGACTGCTGCAAGTTCCTGCTCTAAGGATCCACCCAGGCTGCTCTCTGTGACCCGACTGGAACCAAGAAAGTGAGCACAGATTCAGACCTCAGACCAAATCCTACTCTTGGCCACGTCCGTACCTGTGACCATGCCCAAATGGGCATGATCAGCACTACAGGTTGGGGGGATGGATATCTCATTAAAATTTCCATTTTAGTCTACAGAAAAAGATTTAGGCTTGATACAAAACTATATACAGCTTGTTGGTAGTGGCACGCACCTTTAATCCCAGCACTCAGGAACCGGAGACACGTGGAACCCCGTGAGTTCGAGACCAGCCTGGTCTACAAGAGCTAGTTCCAGGACAGCCTCCAAAACCACAGAGAAACCCTGCTTCAAAAAAGCAAAAGAAGAAAAAAAACTATATACAAAGATAGCAAGTATCTACTATGATCTAAGAGAAGGAAATGTAAGAACATACACACTTAAGACCTAGGGTAAAGGCATAACAGAGATTACTATAGAGTTGTCCTAAGCTGGAACATTTAAGTCTTACCTCTAATACTTTGTGACAATCTAGTCTTCAACCTCATCAAAGACCTGAGAACAAAAATAACAATAAAAGAAGTGCAGGTGAGCAACTTCCAAAAGGTGCAGTGAAGACAGAAACAGCAGAATACCTGGATAGTCACCCAAAGTCTCACAGCAGCATAGAGACAACCAGCTTTGGCTAAGGCCTAGAGTAACTGACTGACCAGTATGGAAGCAGGGAGGTTGAAAGGCTCTCTTACCCTGACTTGGCAAGGTTCAGCAGTCTTCTAAGTTTATCTGCTGTAAGCTCAGTTAGGACAGCAAGTCCAAAGTCAGTGGTCAGGGTGGGGGCAGTTCTTTGCCCAAGAGGCCATTAACCTAGGAGACAATGATCTCCAGAAGGAGTGTCTTCAGTGCCCAACATATACTCGGGAATAGCTTGGTGCTGTAAGAAGCAATTGTGTCTCAGGTCAATGAAGTGCTAATATTAAAACATTTAAATACCATATTCTGCAGGTGTATGCACAAAGATGGGCAGTTCACTTAAATATGAAATTAAAATACAAAATCAAGTGTAAATTCTAAATATCTCAAATACATAATATAAGATCAGATCAAAATATTTTTAAGCAGTGTAGTTCATAATGGCCATAGCAGAGAACACAATGATAAATTTGAAGATAAATGTGCATTATTATAGTAAAAGACAGCAATAGATAGCTGCTAACATGTATAAAGATCTTATAATTTCTATAAATAGAAAAGTGTGGGAAATCCTTGTTTCAAAATTCAGAGACTTAAACAGAGAAAATAGGTAAAGAAAAATACACCAAGTACATCTTAGTCAAAAGCCCCAGGAATAATATCAAAGACAAAAAGCTAAAATATGTCTCAACTAAAAAGAAGCAATACTTACAAGAGGGTGATGTTAGAATAACAATGGATTTTTGCTTTGGGACAGGTCTTCCTGTCTAGTCAAGGCTGCTCTTGGTCTTCCTGTTTAACCTATGCTGGCCTTGCCTTCATGGTTCTGCACCAGCCAGCTTAGTATTTCCTATTCTCCTATCAACCTCTATCCTCCTTTTTCCTTTCCTTTTCTCATATTTATTTTGTCAGATATTTTGATATAGATCATATAACTCACAATCATTGAAAAAGAAAAAAACCTTTAAACCCAAGGTCCTATACCCAGCAGAAGTACATTTCAAATGGCAAATAGTAGGGTTGGACTTCATGGAAATTAGACTTCATGGAAAAACTAAATAACAAAGCACACCAACAACAAATTAAATTGATATTAGATATAAATTGTGTAATACAACTCATCATATTCAGGAGTAAAATTATAGTTAACTATATGCTGTTTACACAAATATACTGAAATTAAAACATGTAAGTAGTAGCAAAATTAAATGGATACACTTAAGTGAAGTCTTAAAATATAAGCGATAAATCATCTTGATGACTAATCAAACAAATGGAAATGCAACCTGGAAGAGTATAAAAAGTTGATCAATGTTTTCAACTCACTTTATATACTTAACACTTATAAAATACTTCATGCTATATAACTATTATGAAAAAGGCACTATGAGAC